TTGAATCAAGCACGGGCAAAACCGGGTCATACTGCTAGTACACTTTTAAAGAGGGGATATTTTAGAGCATTGGTTCTCAATTGGGAAAGCGCGCCACATGGGTACAACAGAAGAGGATAGCAGGTGAGGCGGAATGATTGAAACACAATCAAAGTTTAAGAAACAGCTTCAAAAAATTCATATGCCCAAAATAATTATGATTTCTAAATTTAAATTACGGATTATTTGTATTAGGTTGGTGCAAAAATAATGACGTAATAATGTCGTTTTTGACGTATTTTTTAACGTCAAAAACGACATTATTTCGTCATTATTTTGCACCAACCTAATAATTGCATGCATGAGTTCTAGTATAAATAGTTATAAATAAATTTTGACCGATTTTATCACTGTGATATTTTTGTACTATATCAAAATTTATGAATGCTGCAACTAGGCTCAGCAAATTGGAGGAGAGAGTTATCTATTATAATGTTCTGACTTCGAATCCGCGGTTATCCCCCTCTAGCCCCCCTCTTTTTTATATGTACTTATTACATAAAATTTGGTGAGGTGCGAGGAAATTTTCATTCCAAAAATGCAACCGAGAGAAAAAAATTAGAGAGCCACTGTTTCAGACGAAGCGTAAAAAAAGTGGCCATCTTTTCCTAAATTAAACTTTACAGTCCTGAAATGTATAGGAATTAATGGGATTTAGATGTCAGATGACGAGTAAGGCATGTAGTTGCCGCATAAAAAATTGAATAACGTTTCTTCTTTAATCCTAAGCGAAGGACTTATATCATTTTATATCAGGAGAATATAGAATCACATGGAAATAAGAGGAGACGCTACTTACCGCTCGATACGTTCGCTTCTGACCCGCGTGTTTTCCTCCTCGTCCATCCATCTCCACGTGGACCCCGTGGATAATGTCGAAAAAGTCTTCCACCATAGCCACACGTTTATAACCCTTTTCAATTTCGCTGCAATTAGGGTCATTCTGTGAAAAACAAAGAGAAAGAAAAAATAGAATTAATAATGTTCATTGTATTTTTCAGGCTTTCGTCAATTAAAAAAGAAAAGAGTAATTAAGTGAATAATTTAGCATTTCATTTTTGAGTCATTGTCAGTCTACTTTCATTATTTTGAACCATTGCCCACATATTCATTGATACATATGGTGTATATACCACTAATTCGCTTTAGGACGGTGGCATATATATGAGTTGGTTAAACGTGTGTTGTAATCATCTAGCGTAAATGAGTTCAAATAACTAGTAAAACAGGAACAAAATAACAATAATCAACAAATATCCTATAGCCCAACAACAGAAACCTGATGATACCAGATGGTACTTAGCCGAAATGTGTCTTTACTAACATCCAATATATAAAAAATAGTTCGGAATTAAAGATAATATTTCGCTCCATTTACTGGAGTTAGCGGACGATCAAAATGGGCTATTTGTTACGAAGGGCATTTATGTACACTCATGAGGCCCGTAAACCATTAGCATCGTAAAGGCAACACGTGTATTGCAATTTGCAGTAGCATTTCCTAGGCAAGTTACCTTGACAGAGCCCAATCCTCTCCAGATTGGCATTGAATTCAGAGTTTTTCCTTCTCCCAATGCTATAGAACCCAGTCTGTCTTGCTATTTACCCATAGTTGGCTGGAGAAGATATGAATTCATACCTTTCCAAAGGTTATTAAGTGAATGTAATGAACCCGACTGGAATTCAACCTCGGTTCTTTGATTTCTCAATCCGAGCAGCTACATATTACTCCACCGTGCTTCTATGTATTCTACAGACTCATAAAAAGCGCGCTTCCATATTGTTGTCAAGTAAATTATTACGTTGAATCATAATTCATTTCTGTTATGTTATGTTTATTGAATTTATCATCTTCACTACTACTCATATGTGGCAGTTAAGAAGAAATTCGAAGTACACTAACATACTTCATTTTTTCCACGGCTGTAGCAGCGTACACAGTGGATTAAAGAATACGTTGCTTCGCCCCACTAACGGAGATATTGGATGTTCATTTGCGTCATGTGATAATATTTGGTGGAGGAGACAAGCGAAGGAATAACGATATGGAGACATCTAGAAAAACATGTAATCTTTATTCTCCGGGAATCATATATGATCCACAAGAACGAAATTGGTTTGCAAAGATTCATAATGGTGGAACGTCACTGGAATCTGCATGTACATCGGAATTTGAAGTTGTGGCTCATTAAAGTCATTAATGGAAATCAATCGAGGGAAGAGCACTACTAGATCAACAAAATAGGGTATATATCAAATTCAAACATATGCCGACATTTTGAAAAGGTAAGAGTAAGTTAGAAGGTTTAGTGTTTGGATTCCTCACTATCTTGGCTCTAACAAAGCGAACCATTGATCGATAGTGATAAGTTTCATTTTACAACGGAACAATAATTCGTTATTTAAATATATCATAAGTGATTACAGATGAGTTCTATACGACATTGTCCGACACAAAATG